GCGGAAAGGAGTTGCTTCCTACCGCAAACGCTTCCCTGGGGCTCTTACGCTGCTGGCAGAGATGGTTATCGGAGCCGGAAGAGCCGAGAGGGACTTGGGAGGAGGAGGTGGCTCCCCGCACGCAGATCTGGCTTGCAGCTGCAGGACATCAAAGCACGGAGGCGTCCACACCTGCGCGGCCCTGGTGCCAGCTGTGCCACCTCTGCAGCTCCTAGCTGCCTTGCAGCTGGTGGGCAGCAAGCCCAGCCTTGCTGCAGCCTCCGCCTTGCATGCGACCTGCCAGCGCTGGCCTGCAGGACTCGGCCTCGCTCTTTTCCAGGGCTGCTCAGCTTTGGTGCTGCGCTGCTGTTTGCTTCGCGCACAGGAGTGCAAAGCTGCTCTGGCAGTGGCTGCCGGTGGCATTGCGGGGTGGCAGCTGAGTGCTAGGTGCAAGGCTGATGCAAGGCTGATGCGCTGCAGGGGTGATGTGTTGCAGGGGCACCTTTAAGAAGGGCAGAGCCCAAGCGAAGCTCCTGAGACTGATCTACAGAGAGGGATGACAGAGGCGACGTCTAAAGCAGGCAGCCGCACCGCCTCATCTGGATACCGTCAGCGGTGCGGGGCTGCGGGGCCCTGCACGTGCAGCCCTCCTGGGGAAGGGCCGCAGCGGCCGGCAGGGCTGCACTACGTGGGCCTGGCCTTGCCGCGCTCAGCGCGGCGGCCACTGAGCGACGTGGCGGCCAGCGGAGCATCCCTTTCCCCGCCTGCCTCCTCCCGCTACCCAGCTGCTTTGGCAGCACCGGCGCTGTTTTTCTGGGATGGAAACTCGGCCCTTGTGACGCCTAATGACTTCTCCAGCTGAAGGCAGCTCCTGGCAAGGCTCGTGCAGGGCTCCGGCCCCTGGCTTGTGCGGACACCCCCAGCAGCGCTGTTCCCGGGCCTGCCTCGCCACCTCCCCAGCTGCAAGCAGGGATGCTGCATCCCAAGGCAGCTTTGGTGCTGGAGGGCTGGGACCAGTTCCACAACCTGTGGGAAGAGGTGGAAAGGGCTCGGTTGTGCCATCGCGGGAAGTGTTGATAGTGCTCCAAGCACTTTCCTGATCTTGACAGAGGGAAACTGAGGCACGGCAACTAGTTTCAGCACGAGCAACCAGCCCCAAACCCAACTGGAGGCTGCAGCTCTCTCAGTGATTCGAATGACACCAGGGAACATTCCCAGGCACAGCAACTCTTTGTTTATCCCACAAAAATGGGCTGTTTCCAGCACAGCCTGGGCCACCTCGGCTCCCTTTGGATGCCCAGGCCCCACATGGCTGCTGGCATGGCCCAAGAGGCCATTTGGACCATTTCACTGAGACCTGTGATAGGGGCACATTGAGACAGCAGCTCAAATGAGTCCTGACCCCCCTGGATATTCCAGGTGAATCCCCACTGTATTACCGCATCCTGTAATGCACCCAAGCCACCTCCTCCCATGCCAGTGGTTTTCCATGCTCTTTCCTGTGACCAGGATCCTTAGGCCAGAGATTTGGGATCCCAAGCAGCAGGGAGTCTGCCGTGCTGGGAAGGGACACAGCCAGCTGCCGGCCTGAGGTTCCCATCATGGATTTGGCAAGGAGAGGCCGCAAGTCTGATGGCGTGGCAAAAAGCTCCGAAAGGAGAGCAGGACTGCAGCCCCGGGCAGGGCTTCGGTGCGCCCCAGTGAAGGTGTCTGGGCTCTGTAGTGGCTCCATGATGGGGTAGCCTGAAGGGTCCCTCAAGGAGGTAGGGGGTCTCCATCTACCCCCTCTCTCAGAGCTTCCAGGGGCACTTTTAGGACACCAGGAGATGCATGCAACCTTCTCCATGCTGACTGGCACAGCAGCACCCCAATCCGAACCTTTCCCAGCTTCCAGGTGGGCTTTGGGCTGGGCACCACCTGGATAACTGGGTTCTGCCATCAACCTGTGATTAGTACGGGACAGGCTGGGAGAGCTGGGCTCCAGAGCCAGCCTTATGTCCCCAGGGTCAGCCCTCTGAGACCCACTGCCACAGGCATGCAGGTGGTAGCTGGACCCCGGCATTGTCACATAACCACAGACAGCACTGGGAACCCTTGCTGCAGGTGGGATGCAGGGGGGACATGGTCTGAATGCTGCTGTCAGTTGGCAGGGCCTCAGGAGCCCTGATTTCCCTATGTACCTTGGTGGAACAGCCGCATCTTTGTCTGGCGAGGGCCTCGCGGAGGGACAGCCACCGCCATGCCTGCTGCTGGTGCCCGCAGCCAGCTGCACCCACTACCCACACCTGCTGCCAGGCTTCCTGCACGCAACTGCCTGCACCCAGCGCGGACCTGCCGGCATGCACCTCCTTCCAGCAAGGACACCCACCACAGCGCAAGGACAGCCACAGGGTACAGAGGGGACAGCAGGGGGGTGGCCTCCCAGGCGGCTGACCCCCTCCACCGCCCCGCTGCAGGAGGCACACATGGCGCTGTTGCCGGCATCGTTCAGCACTTGCTATTTTTGGCAGCGTTGCCTGGAAAATGGGAGGTAGCAGAGGAATTTTGTTTGCTCCAGGCTGGGCCTGAGCCAGACATCTGGGCCGCAGCTGAGCGGGGAGCAGCGGCCAGGCCCATCTCCCACCAGCAGCCCCACGCGCGGCCCCTGCTGCCCCGGCACAGCCTCCTCCCAGGGCAGGGGACACCCAGCCCCAGGTACCTGCTCGGTACCAACTCACCCCAACTCTTGTGTTGTGGTGGGCTCAGCTCTGGCTGTCATCAGCAGGCCCCGCCAGGGGGCAGAGGTCCAGCGGGGCTCTGGTCGTACACAGGGTGTCACAGAGTGCCACGTGGACGTGTGGCTGGGAGAGTGGGATGGGGCTGGTGTGGCTGTCGTGGGGGAGGCAGTGCCCCACGCGGGTGCGTGACAGGCGAGCTGGCTCCACCAGCGGTCGCGTGCAGCCTGCGTGGCACCGGCTGCGCTGCAACATTTGCTCGCGTGTGCACAGGCCCAGCGCTTGCTTGCGCGGGCCAGGGCTGCGTCGGGGTGTGCAGCTGCACTACGGCTTGCTGCCAGCGCGCGTGGCTGGTACGTGCGTGAGGCAGGTGGCTGGTGCTGGCAGCAGGGGTTCCACCGCAGGTGCTGTTGCAGCCAGGTGACAAACCAGTGAGCGTGGCTGCACGTGGGCGAT